AGGAAGAAAATTAACTCTATCCCAGCTGAAACCAGGATATTCTGCCTCCAACAGGGGCAACCTGTTGCCGGTCATGTATGCCTTGGCTCTTGGAGATGCAGCATCTTTTGGCTGCCTCTGCATTTCACTCACCTCCGGGCTGGGCAAGTCTTCGCATGCTCTCTTGTGTTAGCAGGTCTCCAGTCTTCCCTGAGGTGGTCCCTGGACTTTCCACAAAAACATCCAGTGCAATGCAACAACTGATCTCTGTCAGTTCAACTGACTTGCCTTGTGATGTTTCTATGTATTTTTCACAAAAAACACTCTGGGAAGGAACGTGTCCTAATAGCTGCCTGAAACAAACCCATGTTTGAACATATCTGAATGTTTCCACTCCAGCGTGGGATGCTGCTTTGCTGGTTTATTGCTCAGATGGTTTTGTGACTCTCCAGAGGTTTCACAGTTAAATCCCAGCCTTGCCTGACAGTGACAGTGGACCCCAGCAGGAGCTGAGATGGCTACTGCACCGAAAGAGGCAGAAAATGCTATTGGCTTGGAGGAAATCCACACAGAGAGACAAGAACCCCCAAAAGGTGGGTTTGTATTGGCAGGACTAGAAATTTGGGTCCTCATTTAGCCAGGGTTGAGGGAGGGTCCCCAGTCCTGACGGTCCAGCTACCTAAAACCTCTGTACATGGAGCTACAAGCATCAGCTTCATACTGCTCCTCTCCCAGCACAGCTACCAGACTGCTGGCTGCTGCCTATGATGGTGGGAAGAGCTGGCTGGCTTGGTTTTTCTCAGACCTCTGCTTTGTGTATATGTTTTCTTATATTGGTAATTCCAGGATTCTTTCATTTTGGATTATTTTGTTTTTAAAGAAAAATATGTTCTATTTCAAAAGCATTTTAAAGAGAAAAAAACTGTAGAAAAGCATAAAATGAAAAGTTCTGCATTTGAAAAAAAAAAAAAAATTCTCCTAAAATCCTGCAGTAAGTTCTGTTCCATTTCAGAGGTAATGTTGATGGGTCTGAGATGACTTAGTTGGGAGATAAATGGCCTGACAGAAAAATTTATGCAGCTATGACTTTACCTAAATAAGAGCTTAAAAGCACACATATACTGAAAGCTTTCTGCCAGGTCTGTTTATAAAGTCATCCCAGCCCTGATCTTGAGATGATTTGTTTGCTCTTGAACTGGGGGCAGGAAAGTCAGGAATAAAGGCTTAGGAGATGAAACTAAGCTCAGAGCTCCTGGCTGTGCTCGTCTCGCAGGGCTTGGGGCTGGGGCAGCCCCCAGCTCACACCGCCCATGCCAGGAGCGGGCCCGTACCCCAGGGGTGCAAAGGGGCTGAGCCTGTGGCAGTTTGGGCAGAAGAAGAGAGCAGACCATTGCCTGGATGCAGTCCCAGCCACAGGTTTCTGAAGCACCTGGGGTAACTTGGGACAAGGCTCTAAAAGCCCCAGGGGAGCAAGGCTGTCCTTCCCCCATGCCCAGCTTGCCCTCTCCCCAGCTGGCCGCTGTTTCAGCAAACCCTGACATGCCCGGCCACCAGCGTGCCCAGGGCTGGTCAGTGGATACACAACTGCTAGATGTTTCCAGCCTTTTTCCAGGCACAGTCCCACAGTAGCATGAAAAACGTTCATGTTTCATGAGCAGGAGGTACAATTTGACTGCTGATGTGGTTTTTGTCTCTTTCTTTCCCTTTGGTCTTCAGGGCAGAAGACATTTACAGTGGAAGAAGCTGTGGAAACCATTGGGTTTGGGAGGTTCCACATTGTGCTTTTCCTGATCATGGGCAGCACTGGGGTAGGTGTCTGCAGCCATCTGCACTGGGCCAAAAAATGTTCATTTTCCTTATTACTGTCTAATAACAGTCATAAGCACCATGGGTGCATATTGCAGCCCATTTTTTTCACACATACCTTCTCAAGCAGGATTTCTGCTGTTGTCATCTTTGGCCAAAATCGATATTGACCACAACTGACATCAGACCTATTTCGGAGCAAAGCCAGGCAGGTTGGCCCAGAGTATCCTGGCCTGGCCCCTGCCCTGGAGCACCATCCCAGCAGGAAGCACTGACAGGGCATGTCTTCAATAGTACCTGAGGGTCAGGTTCAGCCTCCCAATGGCATTTTTCATGCCATCCCCAGGACACCCAAACCCTGTGCAATTTGCGATGGGAGGGCTGCGCTCCTCTCACCCTTGGCTACATGAAAAATTTCCTAACTGCCAGGGTCTTGGGTTAATGGTGTATCTGGTCTGGGAACTGGGGCACAAGCCTGAGGCCAGGCTGGCCTAAAGGTGCGATGGGGACATATCTATGAGGATCACTGCAGCTGAGATGGAAAAACCTCTAGCTATGTGTAAATGATAGGCTCATTTCTTAACTGAAGCCAGCTGCTGGGGCAATCAGCCAATGGAGCAATGAAGTTTTTAATCAAGAACAGTTTTAAGAGGTCATCTTTGTGTTAGATGCCTGAATTCACAGATGGGTACCTAACCAAGCAGCTTGGTTTCCAGAGATAGTTGAAGACCTTCCACTAGCACAGCTGGGTAAGAGTGTCCCCTGCAAAGGATGAGCCTTTCCAACCTTCCTAGGTACAGTGTACCTAGATACCTGTTTCCTAGGTGCACCTTTCTCCCCTCCTCTCCCTGTTTCCAATTGCTCACATCTTCCGGATCAGGCACAGGGCTCAGGCTGCTACCGAGGCACCATGGCTTCGCAGGGCTGTTTTGACATGGGGGGACTGCCATGGCTGCAGGCTTGGTGGGACTGAGGGACTTTCTGCTGTGGGCTCCTTCTGGCTTCCTTTCTTGTTAATGTACACACTCATTCCTGAAGGTGGCCGAAGCTATGGAGATCATGCTAATAGCTGTTGTGTCCCCTCTCATCCGATGTGAGTGGCAGCTTCAAGACTGGCAGGTGGCTTTAGTGACAACGGTGAGTGACTTGTGTTCCCCCCATGCAGGTCATCTACTACATGGGCATTGTCCAGGGCACCACCACGGGCTTTGTAAAGCACATTTCCCAGTGGACCAAATAAATTCCTAGGGCCTCCTCTCAGGGACAAGAACAATACCACAACTGTAGAAAACCAGAAAGTGAGTTGATGTAAAGCACATGTCTGCGCCTAGAGCTGTAATGCCGAAACAAGCCCCCATTTCCATATTCTTATTTTGAAGTCATTGCCATCCAACCCTCAGCTTTGAGGGTTGAAGCAGTGAGTGCCTACATGGAATAAGTCAACCCCTGAAAGTCACCTCGCTCATGGCTCTGGGTGCTGCAGTTCATCCTGCTGCTTGGAAAGCATTCAACACACACACATTTCAAAGAGCAGAGCTGCCTGGTGCTGCTGGGAGTGGGCCCTCCACAGCTGTGTTTCAATTCCCCTTAGATGGTGTTTTTTGGCTACATGGTCTTCAGCATAGTGCTCGGGCTCCTGGCCGACAGGTATGGCCGCTGGAAGGTGAGTGAGCACCAGGGGCTGCATGTCCTTTTCCCAAGCCCTGCAGGAGCCGTGCACCTGGCTGAGCCTGTGATTTAATGACCCTAATTTTTCTCCTTTTGCAGATCCTGCTGCTCTCATTCCTCTGGGCAGCCTATTTCTCCTTGCTGACCTCATTTGCCCCATCCTACGTCTGGTTCGTGTTCCTGCGGGCCATGGTAGGAGGTGGCGTGTCGGGCCACGCACAAGGGTAAGGCTGTGCCTTGTGCGTTGTGGCATGGGTAGTGGCAAGCCAGCCTTCACGGAGAGGTTAGCAGAGGCACCCCGGGTCCTGGAGGGGCTGAGTTCCTCGGTTTACAGCAAGAAAGGCCCTTCAGCTCATTTTGGCTGACCCTGGCAGCGCGCCCAGTTTCCCTTGCACTGAGCCTGATAAGCTGTGGCTGCTCTGTGACCTGGAGGAGATGGCGGGGAAGGGGCCTCCATAGGGGCTGGAACTGGAAAGGGGAGGAAATTCCCACATCTCCTTAAAACAAAATGCTGTTCTGTAATTTCACTGAATCCCAGTTGATCAACCTAAATTGCAATTCCCAAGGACTTCTGAGCCCAGGAATAGAGGGGGCAGCTGGTTTGTGTTAAGCCAGTGACAGAGGTATTATTAAGCACATATATATTATAAAAGCGATTAGACAGGTAACAGATGAGCAAAGGCTGCTTCCTCGTAAAAAAGTCAGAACAATTCTGCTTAAGTAGCAAATTCCTCTTGAACTGATGTAAAATGTTCCCACTTAAATGAAACTTTTTTCCTTGTCGGGGCAGAAGGGGGGACGTGAAGGGAGAGAGGAGAAATTCACGATATTAACAACCACTTCACTAGGAGCCTGGCAATATAAATTATTTCTTTCGACTCTCTCAGGGAAACAAATGCAGCGTTTCAGCATTTTCCGTGGTTCCTCAAACCTCCGTGCTGCCCATGCAGAAAAGCCCAAAGCTGGTCGCACTGACCCAAGACCCCTTTGCTGAAGCAAAGGATGGGAGGGAGATAGGCGGTGTTGGGAGGAGAAGGCGCCATGCACCCAGGTTGTGCATCCACCGAGCTCCCAGGGATGCCTCCTTTGCAGGAGGGCCCCCATTCCTTGGCCATGGAGGCTGCTAATGAGCCTAATGAGGAAGGAGGGAAATTGCACATTTTATAAAACACTTCAGTAGCTGAGATAGAAGGAGCCAACATGGGTCTCTCCCTCTCTCACTCTCTTTTCAGCCAGGGAAGCACAATTCACACCTGTGAGCTTGAGATGCCAGTGCCAGGACCTCCCCCAAGGGTCATCCAACTATTTGATAAAAAGTGGAATGGACTGGGGTTTTTATTTAATGAAAATAATGATTCACTAAAAATTGTCCCCTCCTATGAATGTACTCTGCACCTGTGCTGACACCTCAGCTGCCCCACAGGACATTCCCGTAGGTTTCCTGGTGCACAGGAACACCTGCCCGTATCCTACAGCCCTGGCCTGGAGAGGATTCATGCCACGCATCTCCCTTGCATGTAATTTAGTGCCTGCCCAAGTGGGAGGCGTATTGAGCATGGCCCCCCCTCTCTGGGTGCTCAGTGGTAGAAGAGGGATGGTCGCTCTGCCCACGGGCAGCAACGTCCAGCACTAACTGAGCTGAGCTGAACTGCTCCTTGGTTGGTATAGAAATTCTCATTGCTGCTGTATTTCTGCATCTTTTTCCCTTTTCGCTAGGCTTATCATAAAAACGGAATTTTTGCCCACCAAATACCGAGGATACATGTTGCCCTTATCTCAGGTAAGAGTGAGCATGCTGCTGTTTCTTCCAGCCCCAAGTCCCTGGAGATTTGTCCTGCTGCTGTTTGGAAGCCGGGTCTCCACCATGTCAGACTTTCTCCCAGACTATTCGCACTTATCTTGGTCCGAGCGAGTGCTTGCTACCTCCTGCGCCCTGGAGCGTGGCATCTGCGTTATTAAAGATGTACACAGGCAGCCACCTGCAGAAAAGAGGCAATTTCTTCTCAAATAATTGGATGCTCCAAACATTGCATGGGGATTTTGAGTGACGGCTGACATCCAGCTTCTCAGTTGCCCTACTGATAACGGTGCTGCCTGCTCTAATGGGGCCAGTGCTGATGTGCTTTCTGGCAAGCCCTGGGGCTAGTGGCACCACCAGCCCCCTCTGGGCCTGGGCTCATCCTCGCCTTTCTTTGGACTTGTTTAATAACAAGTGATTAATGAGGTGATTCCCAGATAAGATCCTAATCTGCACCTCTTCCTGTCCCTGCTCAGGGACAGCACAGGGCTATGCACAGGATAGGGCTAGCATAGATAGTCCCAAATTCCGCCTGAGACGTGCTGGGAGGGTTGTGACCACTTGCTGGGCAAAGACCACAGCAAGTGTGTCTGGGGTTGTTGCTTACTCCAGATTTCTGCAGTGGGCACTTGCTGCATGTGCAAATGATCTGCGGAGGCCTCACTGAGCACACGAATTCATCCAACTGTTGAGCCAATAGTGTTTGTATATGGTCTTGGTGGCAGGGATAATTTGCTTTTCATTACTGCCTGTTTGATCCCAGGGCTTCGTTACCAAAGTGTCACCAGAAACACAAAGGTTTATAAAAAAGAATACTCTTGTATTTGTCCCCAGAAATTTGTTATTTCTGCCCACAGATTACTCATGAACTTGCTGTGGCTTTTATGTATTTGTTTGTGCTTTTTGTTGGCTGAGCTCCCTTGGGTGGTCCCCTGGAAACGGATGCATTTCCTAATAGCAACAAGTGAACTTTGAGGAGGAATGTACTTGCAGATCAGGGGGCCAGATTCTCCATTGGTATAACTTGGCATTGAGTCTACTGGAGACTCACCAACTTCCAGCAGTGGAAATCTGGCCTGTTTTTGCCTTCAGTGCTTGTAAATCTGCTGCTTCCCTGCAGAGATTTAGACAAGAGGAAAATTCATGGGCATGAGCGTTAGCAGAGGAGCAACTGGAAGGACAAAAGAAGTGGCTTTAAGTACAATGGTAGCCACAGCAAGTTATCTGTTTTCATCTGGAGCTAATTAAGACTATCTTCAGCCGTCCCTCCTCAAATCCTTGTCTTTCTTCCCCTCTTTCCTTCAACCCAAGATCAACTTCTCAGACAGCCATGGGTTCGGTTTGAACTGCACCACTGCCCAGCATAGATTCCCACACCTGTCCATGGAACCAGACCTGAAGGGAAGAATATAAACAAATCATTGCCATGTGTTCATGTTTTAACCCCTTCCTTTCCCTTGGAAAGGTGTTTTGGTTGGCAGGATCCTTGTTAATCATTGGCCTGGCATCAGTGGTGAACCCAACCATTGGCTGGCGGTGGCTGATCAGAATCGCCTCCATTCCTGGCATCCTTCTGATCCTGGTGTTCAAGGTAGGAAGAGCTCTGCTCCCCGCTGCACCGCCACTGACCTGGCATCTCCCCAGGCACCAAGAGGCATTGCCCTCCACCCCCTGCAAGCCTGGGGCTGTCCTTGTGTCCTCCTTTCACCACCGCAGCCCTCTCACCCGGGGGGCTTGGGAAGGTCCTGATGGCCTGGGGGGCTGCAGGCCGGCTGCTGGGGAGATGTGACCCTGTGGAACATGGCTTGGCTTGGCTTTGCTTTGCAAAGTGTCTGGCTTTGCTGGCCTACTGTAGCCCTCCAGCACCACAGGCTCCAGTGTCCAGACTGCCAGTGGTACCCAGGGACCATGGTGATGGGCCAGGCATTGAGAGGAAGACAGGCTAGGCAGGATATGCAAAAAAAATTATGAGTAATATCTTCAGTCTAGTGCTGGCCACAGCGCACCCTCTTCAGTCTTTACATTTGCTAGGGCTGAGGAAAGAAGCCTCAGTAAAGTGTTCACTGAGCAAATGGGTGTCAGGGTCAACCACAGCTTCCCCGGGTTTACTCATGCTTCAGAAATATCAGCCTGTCTTATTTGTGGAGAGTGATGTGGAAAATGCCTACTTACAGTGCTTGTGGGCTCTGCAGTGCTAAGCTGTGGCTGGTGAAAGCTGTGCAGGTGTGAAAGCCCTTCCTGCAGCTGAACAAATGCACAAGTCCATCTGGGGTTCTACCTGGGCAGTCAAATGCAAGGTCGCTGTGAATGTCCACTCGTATAACTGACGTTTGGTTTCCCTGATTATTTTTGCCAGAAAAAAAGGTAGCAAAAGTTTTTAGTCCGGAAGAAAAAAAGACATAGTCAGCATACATACCTTTTAAAAAGGAGTCTTTAATTCATATTTCAGTGATACAGATGTAATTGTTTATAATTTAATAGAGCCATCATTTAATAAAAAGGTATTTTATTTTAGAAAGAGCACCAGGTGTGGGTGAACACTGCAAACACTAGTGATGAATGAGTTTGTTCCTAAATTTCATCTATGTATTCCTTTTTTTTTTTAATGGTCTTCTTGAGTCTTCCAAGACTTTTGCTTAAGTAAATGACATATGCCTCATCCCATTTTAGAATTTCAATTAATTAGGGGTTGTTTTTGTTAAACCTGTGTCTTTGGCTTCCACCTCTCATGAGTGCTTGCCACAGATGGCTCAATAGCAGACCGCTGAGAGCTGGACCAAGAAATGGGTTTGTTGGGCAGGGTGAGGCCCCCAAAGTGGGGTATGGGAAGCTGGGACACACAGGGGTGCCCTGAGGCTTAGCTGGGGAGGAGGACAGGCAAAAAGCTGCTTCAGCTCAGGCGGTGCCCCTTGCTAAGCTGGCTGGGCTCCTGGGCATGACGGGAAGCTGTGAGTAGGGTTGCGTGGACAGAGGTGCAGAAAGGCTTTCTGCTCTGCTTTCAGTTCATTCCGGAGTCGGCGCGGTACAACGTGTCCACAGGAAACGTGGCGGCTGCCCTGGCCACGCTGCGGAGGATAGCCAAGATGAACAGGGCAGCGATGCCCGAGGGGGTGCTGAGGGAGTCCGCCAAGGTAAGCTGAGCCTGCGGTGCTGCCTGGCCCCTCCGTCCCGGGTAGGGCTGCCGGCATCCGGGGTTCAGGGAGGGAGTGGGAGCACCAAGCATGTCTCACTCTGCCTCTCTCCCCCTCCTCACCTGGTTTCTTTCCAAGCAACTATTGAATGTGATGATGAAGATGTCTGTCTTCTTTTTGGCAAGACAGTAATCTTGGCCCTCAAAAATGGAATTGAGTTTTCTGCTTTTTTTCCTTATTCTTTGTGTTCGCTCAGAAAAATACCGTGCTGAGAAAAGATTTGCTTCCTTTACCACAAAAAGGGTTCCTGGCAAAGCGCATTCTTCCTTATTGCCCGTCCATCCCGCAGAGGCATCCCCCCCTGCCCTGAGACCTGGGACCTGCCCCTCAGGCTCCCTCTCAGTGCTGTGGATGGTCAGGCTGCCAGGGTCCCTGCCACGAGGTCAATCCCCACTGCTCCCAGAGGCTTCTCCCAGACCCTGGCTGGGCTTGTCTGCTATGTCCCAGCACCCCAGGTCCCTGAGAGTGGAGCCGTGGACCAGCAGAAGAGGGTCAAAGCATGAGACCCCATTTCAGAGCTACCGGCATTTGCACCTGTGAGCAGCTCAGGAGTTTATCAGTACTGGACTGAAATGTCCGAAAGCACGTATGGGTGTTGCAGGCAGGGCAGGAGAGGAGCTGGGTGCCAGGGCCCCTACAGGCTGCTCCCCCTTATCCCCAGGCCAGGCCCTGCTGACTTGTTCAGGTGGCTCCTTTAATCCTCAAGAGAGGAAGATTGGACAAAACTATTGTCCAGGGTCTCAAAATTATTATCCAGCTCTTTTAAGTCCCTTTCCTGGACATCTTTGCTGCTTATTCAGTCCTACAGGCACCAAGTATTGTCCTTAGCAATTCATGCAAGATGGTGCTATTGTATTGGAATTAATTAGGATTAAAGCTTCCCTGTAGTTTAATTGAATTTATGTAATGGACCCACATTGGCTGTGGGAAGGGTTTTTGTTAGTTGTGCACCCTCTTAGGCTTAACCAATGAAGAGGAAGATAAAAATAAAGGCAACCCAGACCGTCCCTGCGAACTCATCTCCCCTCAATGGTGGGATGCTGGGGCAGCTGCCAGCTTTTGGGGAGCAGCAGGGCAGGCAGGGCCCCCCAGTGCCTGCTTGTCTCTCTGCTCACTGGCATTTCAGTCCTCCCTGCAAGATGCATGTGGCCACAAACTTGCTCCGCATGCAGAGCAGCAGACCCTGGGCCCCTCTCCCCAGCACATGGGGCAACGGGAGCTGCCAGCAACCCCAGGGGTGCTGGACCCCTCCAGCACTGTGACGGTCATGCTGGAGCCAGACTGCCAGGAGCTGGGTGGGGAGGCGGGGGGGGACGACACACACACACCGGCAGGGCTCAGGGGGTTCTATTCTCCTCCCCTCCATCCTTTGCAGTGCATCCTCCTGTGGGCATCCTTTGGGAAGAGGGGCTTTCCTCTCTGAAGGGGTGATGGGGTGCTATGTTGCACCATCTGAGAGTGTTGCGCTATCGGCAGGCTGGGGGGA